AAAATAAGATATGTCCTTTTTATACTATAAAAGAAAATAAATTAAAATTTTAATTTAAAAATATAATACAAAAAGAGAAAAAAATTCATACAAGTATTTTTTATTTTTTTAAACATAAATATTTTAAATATATATGTATAACCAATATAATAATTTTAAATTAAAAGATAAAAAATTAAACACTGCATTGTTGAAGTTAAATGTGGTAATTCAAAAGATCATTCATTATCTTAATTGAAAAAAATGCGGCGATATACTTTTACGGTTTGCATTAATTTATACGAAACAGACAAATCGATCACGGGTAATACGCTAATATATATATATATACATATATGTATATATATATATATGTATATATATATATATAAAAGAAAATAGTGACACATTCTTTCTTTTAGAAATTATTCTACGACGGTCACCGACAAAAAAATTGATCTTTTTTTTCCGTGCATCGCACGAGTAATGCACTAGTAGAATATAAATAGACAGGATGATCGTGTCCTGTTATATGTAACCCAAGCAGGATTATAGAAACAGTTTTGATCCGTTGTGGTTTCTATCCCCCATTTATTTTCGTTTTTACAAGTCTATGTTATATTGTCGTTTCTTCGATAGTTAATTGCATTTCATCAAAATACTCTAATTGTCGAATTTTGTTTTCCCTTCTTATATGCACAACTTCTACTTTTAAATCGTTTCTCTTCTCTACTTTGTTTACCGGCTTGTCTGATGGAATTTTCTCATTTTTTTTACTGTTGGTTATGCTATCACCAATTTGCATCCTTCACTTGCTTGTTTGAACTAGGCTTTTTTACTTATTTTCTTTCTTGGTTCTGAAATGTAAAGTATGTTGTAACATTCTATTCATTCATTTATTTATTTTTGAGTTATACACGAGTTCACCCAAAAAGGTGCTACTTTTTATAATAGACAGCATAGCGAAAATCACAAACAAAGAAATATGAAGTATTAAGCTGTATATAACTCATTAGAAAAATAAATTCTTTTAAGTAATGAAGTCACATTCTTTTATTTACTTTGGAGCTTCAAACAAAGCTTGATCAAAATATGAACAAAATACTCTGTCTTGTCTCTCCCACTAAAGTGTCACTGTTCGAAAAAAAAAAACATTAAAATGTCACGTCAACAGTAAATTTTGCTAAAATGTCACGCGACATATTTCGCTACACTGTGTAGCGAAATATGTGTGCGAAAAATTTGCTACACGGTGTAGCGAAATATGTCGCGTCAGAATGCACAGAACTAAAAATGTCACGTGTCAGACATGGAGAATTTTGTTACACCGTGTAGCGAAATTCTCCCTGTCTGACACGTGACATTTTTGATTCTGACGTAGCATATTTCGCTACACCGTATAGCGAATTATTTGTACACATATTTTGTTACACAATGTAACAAAATATGCCGCGTGATATTTTAACAAAATTTATTGTTGACGTGATATTTTAGTGTTTTTTTTTCCGAACAGTGACACTTTAACCACTGTCCAAGAAACTGAATATCTGGCAAAACATATTGGCCCTCACGCATTGAATTCCAATGTCGACTGCAACCTTCCACGTTCTTGTACAATCCCACATCTGCCTCCATTAAAGTTTTGAAATGTCTTTTTTCTTCATAGAGTTTATGAAATTTTTTATATCTTCTTAAAACATCAATATAACGAGAAAGAAAAAGGTTTTATTATTGTTTTTAGATACTATTTTCATCGAATAAGTTCATAGTTTTATATATTTTAAATTTTTTTATAATTTAAAAATAATAATTTATACTTATAATTTTTTTTCTCACCTTCTCTTGCAACCAATTTTATTATTGTTAAATAAAAAATAAATCATCACTTAAAAAAATCAAGTAAGAGAGCTAGATATTTTATTTTGATTTAACCATAACAAAATTAATAATAACAATAGGTGGTAAGAAAAGAAGATAATAAATATAACTTTCATTTTAAAAATTGTTTAGTTGATGTTTTAAGAAAATTTAATAATTTTTTATAATTTGCGGGCATGTTTCAGGTTCTAGACCCATCAAGGCAAATGAAATTTTTAAAACTAACCAATTAATTGACTCATCGTTGTATATAAATATAAAATGTTTGGCGCACAAATTTATCTAATTATTTAAGAGAAGAATTACGTTTTTTTTTTTTACAATTTTTACAATCTCAACTATGTATTCCAGTAAATACACTGGGAGTATATAATTGAAATTGTAAACAACAAAAGTTGTAAGCTTTGCCCCATTATTTAATATAAAATGATACCTAACGTATTTATTTAGTTTACACAAATTAGTAAATAAGAATTTCTCTTAATAGACTATATCTTTATATATTACATAAATTATTATATTACATATGTAAATAAAAATTATTTAATCTTTTGAACAAACTTGGATTCATATTTGAAAATACTAATTTCATTATACTGAAGAAATCAAAACAATTATTAAGTATCTTATGCATGAAATCTAAAATATATAAATTAAAAATAGGTATTTGAATTTTAAGAATTGAAATTAAATAAATAAATATATCCTTCATTAAAAAATACTGTGAATTAAATCATTTAAAAAAATATACTTTAGTTGATGTATATACCACCACTGAATAGTAGGGAAATGAGATAGATAGAGAAATGATTGGAAAGATAGATAAAGTGAAATAGGTAGAAAAATGTAAAAAAAAAGTTGTTTGGTGGGGAAAAACTTTACTGGGAAAATTAGATAGCTTTATGAAATCAACAGTGCATTAAAAGTCAGATAACCGGTTTTCCGAAAAATCTAACTTTCAAATTGGGTTTCTAAACAGTGCAGATATTTATGTTTCTCATAAATCCAGACAAATTGGATTGATGGGTTTTTGGTGAAAAACATTGAAACAAACATGTTGTTTCTAAAAGTCATACTTGAGAAAGATAAATATCCACTGAAAAGCTCCCAACCAAACACCACTTGAGCTGACCGGAAGAAATCCGGATTTCTACTAAAAAAAAAGTTTACAACTTCAAGAAACCTCTTCCCCGTACCATGAGTCTATCATGAGTCTACCATAGCACAGAGAAAGCAAGGTGGGACTGGGAGATGCAAAACGAGAATTTGTGTGTGACAGTCACGCGAAGCAGTGTTCACGTCAAATTTTATAAACATATTTTCAACAAATTTAAGCGTGTCGTGCGGAACTCTGTCACTCAAACTGGGATTCGATCGTTTACTTTTTTTTGGGACAGTGGCCAAAGCGTCACTGTTGCAAAAAAAAAAAAAAAAATAATAAAATGTCACGTCAACAGTAAATTTTGTCATAATGTCACGTGACATATTTTGTTACACTGTGTAGCAAAATACGTGTGCAAATAATTCGCTACACGGTGTAGCGAAATATACCACGTCAGAACCAAAAATGCCACGTGTTAAACAGGGAAAATTTTGTTTCGCTATATAGTGTAGCGAAATTCTTCATGTCTGACACGTGGCATTTTTGGTTCTGTGCATTCTGACGCGGCATATTTCGCTACACCGTGTAGCGAATTATTTGCACACATATTTTGTTACACAGTGTAGCGAAATATGTCACATGATATTTTGGTAAAATTTACTGTTGACGTGACATTTTGATATTTTTTTTGCCAACAGTGTCACTTTGGCCGGTGTTCCACTTTTTTTTCTTTTGTACAGATCGTTTACTTTCTTTCTTTAGATTCTGAGAGATAATACAACATGTTCGATAATATAAGAGATCATTTACTTTCTTATATTATAATATAAATAATAAGCAAAAGCTTACGTTTGCTGGAGGTAGAGAAGAATTTTGAATTCTGATTTTGTTTGAGTAACCTAAAGTAAGATTATTTTTTTCATTTTAATTTAAGTGATATTTCTGAGAAATTACTTAGTGTTACTTATTAAAATTGATTTTGTAATGTTGAATATGTAAGGATTTTATTTATTTTGGTAAAAACTTGCCCTTCTTGTATTGGTTGTGACTGGATCTTATATTGAGATGATTTTATTCATCAATAGACAAATCAACACTTGTTTTTTCATTTTTTTTTTAATTTTGTATCATAATGTTGTTTTCATTACTGTTGATATGCTTATGAACAGTAATCTTTCTATTTATTTTTTTTTGAAAACACTAACATACTAATTTCACACACTAATCTTTCTCTGAATCTGCTCATTTGCGGGAGGCAACTTTATATCTCTGGCCAAGTATCGATGCAATCCACATGGAAAGTGTGCTTACAATTGGGAAGCAACCTCACCATTTCTTCATCCTCCAGAGCACTCAAGCACACGGCACATGCCATCACAGAGCAGTGACGGAGCCCTGTGTTGGGTGGTTCCCTGGATCAGTCACGACTCATGAGCATGAGCCATGGTGAGCACGCAGATGATGATTCCTTTTTCTGCTTAACACGAACATGTTTGGCAGCCACAAGAGCTAATTGAATATATACTCAATTAAGAGTTAATATTATATTGAATTAAAATCTTTCGTGCTTGAGATTATAATATTTTATATCATTCTATGATTTTCTTTACGCATTTTGTAGCATCAGTTAAATTATCAATGAAACCGTTGCCCTTAAATAACCAATCACATTCTTTTCATCCTTAACCTTGTCAATTGCTGCAAATTGGGATTATTATTATTATTATTATTATTATTAGGATATACTATAAAATATGCTAGTCTATGTAACGTTTTGCAGAAAGAAAGAAAAAATTATGGCATGCTTCTTGCAGACGTGGCGTGTTACTACACCTTCTCTGTGAAAGGCAAATTTCCTTTCAATATTTCATTTTGCACATCATGCAATGTTTCCAGACCAAGAATGCACCTGTGTTGAGTTGCTCTATTCAATTGAGAACAATGTTGTTACGGTTAAGGGAATGTAATTTGGGTCCCAATCATTGCACCAGACGTTACAGTTGGGAGTGTTGTTTGATAACAGAAATTAGCTATGTGGCCAATCCAAGCTTTATATATCAACTAGGTAGCATGCAGAGAACTGCTGCGGGTTACCAAATATTCAAATGACAGTATCGTTTAAATTAATAGAAAACAGCATACATAGTAGGAAGGAGATGAATGGAACTTCATTCAAGAAAGAAGGAATTAACAAACATTACATTAATCAAGCTTAACCAACTCTAATCTTCCTTGGGCATATCAGCTATCTTCTCTGGTTCATCTAAGGCAGGTGAAGATATGAGTCTTTCCACTGGAACTTTAGACACATCACGACGTACTCCAATATCAGAAACCAATCGGCTAACACAGTACATGCCATAACCAACCAATGCTAAACCACTAAAACTGGTGGTCAGAAAGCGAAGCGGTGTAGAAACTACGGCACTAGCAGCAGCCAAGTACGATGTCGCTTGCCCACTCCTGCCTACACTGATGCTTGTGAATACAAGCAGACCTGTTTTGCAGTAAATTGCAAAATCTTCACAGTTATTCTTGAAAAGATTGTAGCCACCAAATCCATTTTCCAGAAGAAACGAAGCACGGCGAAGAACATCTTCAGTTGGATCAGAAGGAGCAAGTGTGCAGGTACCTCCTCGAGTTTTGGCTAGAAAAAATGCAGGTGAGACACCATACTCAAAGAGGTATAGATTACCACCATAAAGAAAACAATCCAAACAGGAAGAGATGACACCATCAGTCCTACTTTGGTCACCACATCTCGGGCATGGATTGTCATTATCATGAGAGGGAGATGAACTGAAAATGAGACGGTCCAACACAGTTCCTGTTCCAATTTCATGGCCTGCTCCCCTGGTAAAGTGGATCACCATTCCATCACCCACGTATATTCCTGGTGTTGTGCACGAAGGCAGTTGAAAAAAACCAAGATATCAATTTCACTACCAATACCATACATAAAATAACACAGACTATAGGTTCAGAGTCTAATTAAAACTGAAGTCTCCAAATCTCATATATGGAAGAGAACTAAAGCATGCAAAAAGATCAATGGCATCTTACTATACATGAATCTGGCCAAAATGCTTATTAATCCTAGAATTCTTGTGAATGATATTTTTCTGGTCCTGAGGTTCTCTTTATGCACAAAGAGTTTTAGTTAGTTTTGCTTTACTTCCCCCTGCCCAAAACGTGCCACATGCACACACACACACAAAGATTGCCAGCCTATAGTTTCTCACCCCTATGAATCAGTCCTTTGACAAAAAATTAACTGACCTTGCAAAGCATTCAACCTCAACATTATCTCTCCTCATTGATGTTTAATATTATTCCTTAATGTCAATAGGTTACAAAATCCATGTCGCTAGAAGGGTTAATTTCCAAAATAATTAAATATCAAATACCACGTTGGATTGCATTAATGTCTAAAAGTTCAAGTATTTAATTTGTATGATATGTTTGTTCATATTTAGAAGTCTTGAAAATCCTATTACCCAATAGTTCCATACTTCCATTACATTTAAGGAACAACAGCACAATAAAACTACAAGCACTGAAAGTTTTCACCCACAACTGATCATACCAATCAATAAGTCACACACAGTTCATCTAAATACATCCAGGAACCGTGACATTTATTATAAAGAATCCACAAGATTGCCTTCAGAGTCCAAGGTTTATTTTGTTTAAATACCAAATTGCAAGCCACATCCAAGTGGCCTCTAGGAGAAAACTAAGACAGTAGACAATTAATTGCATAGGAGTTAAACTTTCTAAACCATGGGACATAACTGGAATGGAAGGCTTTCTTTAAAGAGATAATGGGCCAAACATACAGACTTAAAAAATAAACACGAGCACTAGGGCCTAGGCAAAAAACAGAGTTGGTGGGTTTTTGCATTAGCTTTTTCCTATGGTTAAAGCAGAGATTTTATTCCAGCTTCATAGGTGCTCAATCGTGATTCGTGAACAATGATAAGTGCCATCAGTGGTGGAGTCAGGGAGGGCTTAGGAGGGCCTATCGCCTGGCTAGGAGGGGTGGTTGTCCCCCTCAATTTCAACAAATCTTTTTGTCCTAGCTTACATTCAGATTTAAAAAACTTGAAAGTAGTGTAGCATAAGTCCCCCCCCCCCTTTGGTCCTTATTATTCCTCATGTATGAAAGAAAACTTGGAGATTTCTTCAAATCTGGGAGCATCGACCCAGTATCAGATTGGCCGGTCTAATTTAGTATGAATTTTGCTTTCGTCGCCCCTCTCACAAAATTTTCTAGCTCTGCGATTGAGTGGCATCAAACACTGTAATTTTGGGAACCAACTCTCTCCCACTAAAATTTGGTGAAATTTACACATTCGAACATATAAGCATTGTTGTTATCCCTTTACATCTCTCATGGTTTGATTTATGACCAATTTCTCTTGATTCAGGAACGATGTTTAGCAAATAATTAAGTGACTAAACTTGATCCAACACATGACCTTTGTGCATCTTTCTAAACTGAATAAATCTCAACCCCACATCCATTTGAAACTTTCTAATACAATAACAGAAGCATGAAAACAAAACGAAACAGTTATTACCACTACAAACTGACTTAAAAAACATGTATTGGGACTCAAAGATGATGACGGAGAGGAAATAAAAACAAGATCCGAACCTGAAAATGAATGATTTGCAAGAACAAAGGAAAAAAAATCCCAAAATATGTGGTGTAAAAGCAAATACAAGAACAATGAATGAACAGCAAGAAAGAGAAACCATAAAAAGATGATAAATTTAAAAAGAAGAAAAGACCGTGATGTGCGTAGATGTAAGCCTCCCTCCAGGAATAAATGTGATCACCGGGCTTCAGATGTTCCCGATCGATCTTATTGGAAAGCAATCCCATTTCTCTCTCTCTCTCTGAAGTCTGAACCCAAGCACAATGGAAATGGCTTCCTTTGAGTTCAAGGTATAAAAGCGAAGAGACTCTCAGATTATTCTTCTGATATATGCTATTGCGATGGCATTCCTCCGCTTCCACCCTGTCACTTTCAAATATTTAAGAAATTATTAATTATTTTACGGGAAGGATCCTTTTAAAGTGAAATTAAAAATCAAATCTTAATAGTTATTTTTGTGAATATAAATTATAATTTATTGAATCATATTTATTAATTTATAATAAATTATAACTATTAAATTGATGAAAATTAATTGTTAAGATTTAATATCAATTTTTTTTATTTGACAACAATATCAAATGACTCTGTCCCTTAATTTAAAATTTTATTAACTAGAATAAAATAAAATAAATATAGTATTGTATAATTAAGTAAATTACTATGTCCTCCTATTGTATATTTGCAAATAAAATTATCAGTTACGATTTCAAAAATATTATTTATTTTAGAGTTGAAGAGATAGTTTTATCTAACATGAAAAATACTTTTCCATTTTTTAAAATGTAAAAATATTTAATGATTTTAAGAATTTTTGAAAAATGTTTAAAAAAATTCAATATTTTCTTCTGAACCACTTATCCCATTATGATTTTTTTAATTACTTTTTCTTTATCCATACTCATCTGTATCACCGTTATAAACATAACTAATCTATTTATTTTATCTTTGAAAAAAAAAAAGCTAACGACAAAAAATAAAAAAAAATAAGATACAATATGTTGAAAACTTACAACATTTACATAAAAGATTAAAAGTAGAAGAAAATGAAAATAGAAGAAAAAATAATAAATATGTCTAAATCAAGAAGAAGAAAATTGATGGAGAAAAAAAGGAAAAGAAAAATAAGACCACATATATTAAAAACTTACAACAATGATAGAAAAGACTAAAAATTTAAAAATTAAAATAATCTTAATAAAAAAGAAGACAAAAAAAAAGAAACCACTATTGAAATTTTCCAATATCTTTGGTCTTAATTTTTCTCTATTTTTTTTATCCTCAAATTATTTTCTTTGTTTTGATTTAGATATATTTGTTCTTTGTTTATTCTTTTTTTTTTTCACTTTTAATCTTTTCTATCACTGTTAAAAGAAATAAGAAAAAATAATATAAATAAGAAATAGAAAGAAAAAAAATAATTTAGTAAATTTATAATATATTCGATTTCATTTTTTCTTCTATTTTTTATTTTTTTTATTTAGACATATTTGATCTTATTTTTTCTTCAATTTTTTTGGTAGAATTTTTTCTTTTATTTTTTTTCTCAAATTTTTGTCTTCATTCTATTTTCTTTTTTATTTATACTCTTTTTATTTTTATTTTTACTTTTACTTTTAGCTTTTGTTACTATTGCAAGTTTTCAACATATTTGGTATTTTCTTTTACTTAATTAATTTTTTTATTTATACATATTTGATATTTTTTATGGGTTTAAAGTTTCTAAAATTACTTTAGATAATTTTACTTAATGTTCACCAAAATAAACACATAAAAGTGTGTGAAGTTCATGTTTTCTTTCTTCTCTTCATATGGGTCCACATGGACCCCACATACTTTTTTTTATGTATTTTGGTGAATATGAGATAAAGTTATCTAAAATAACTTTAAAAACTTTAAACTAATTTTTTATTCCATTTTTTTTTAATTTTAGTCTTTTATATAAGTGGTGTACGTGTCTAACATATTTGATCTTATTTTTCTTTTATTTTTTCTCAATTTCTTTCTTCTTTTAAAAAGAGTAAAATACATAGATGAATTTGGATAAAAAAAATCATAGGGGTTACGTGATTGAAAAAACGTGGAATAAGTGATTTAAAGCAAAATTATAGAAAGACTTTTAAACTTTTCCCTTAATTTTTTATAGTTTGTTTTATTAAACTTTTCTTCTTTTTTATAGTTTGGTGATAATTGTTTTTGGGTTGGTTATATTGTCTACTTCTTTAAATTTTTTTACCCTTCTTATTTTTTTTTCATCATTAGATTAAATTCAAATAAACCCAAACACAATAAATTAAAAAAAATATATCTACACATATGGTTTTGACAAATATTATATCTTTGTTTCTCTTTTAATATTTTGCTTATGTCTTCTGTTCTCTCCCCTTGTATCTTTATCTTATATTGATTTGGTTTCTTTCTCTCATTCTCTATCCTTATCATATTTTTTGTGCAGCAACATCCCTTTCCCTCAGATAAATTTATGTAACACTTCTAATATATAAAATTAAAATATTATTTTAATAAAGTTAGAAGCTGGTAAATATGTATAGACTGTGAGGTAAAAATAATATAACTATATCTGATTGCCACTTTTTGGACAAAAATTTACTTGATTGCAACGCCTGAATTTTTTTTTCTCAAAATGCCACATCACAATCTCGCTGGTCTGACAAGCGGGAATGAATTAGACACGTGTCAGCGTCTGAATGGTCAACCATTCTCGCTGGACTGCCCAGCTAGAATGACAGAATGCTGACACGTGGCAAAAGTACAGACATCCAGAGAATGCCTGTACTTTTGCCACGTGTCAGCATTCTGTCATTCTAGCTGGGCAGCCCAGCGAGAATGGTTGACCATTCAGACGCTAACACGTGTCCAATCCATTCTCGCTTGTCAGACCAGCGGGATTGTGACGTGGTATTTTGGCAAAAAAAATTTCAGGCGTGGCAATCAGGTAAACTTTTATTAAATGAGTGGCACAATGGTCAATGTCCCCGATAGATTTAGGTGGGTGCAATGATCTAAAGGTGTAAAGGAGAGTAAAGGAAGGAAGGAGAAGAACACGATACTGTTGATGGAAAGTTGTTTATCAAGATAAATCGTTTAGGGTTAGTTTGGAGCACCTGATAAAGAGGATATGATATGATAACTTATCATATCCTACTTTTATCTCTTGTTTGGTGGGTCAATAGGATATGATTAGCTTATCCTATTGTCTCATTTTATCCTATCCAATACATGGTTTCTTATTCTATGAGAGGAGCTGAGTTAGGATTCAATAGGATAGGATACCAATATTATTAATAACTGTGGCTAAAGAAGAGCTAAATTAATAAAGTTTTCATACATAATTAGCCACATTATTTTACTGTGGCAAACTATATAATTTAACCACATTTATAAAGTGGCTAAATTAATAATAACTGTGGCTAAAGAAGAGCTATCACACTCAGTCAAAATGTAGCTAAATTATTGCAACGCCACTTTTAACTAGGGGTATTCATCAACCGATCCAAACCGATTCAAACCGCGATAACCGAACCGAAAAACCGAGAACCGAATAAACCGAAAACTGAAAAACCGAGAACCGAATAAAAACCGCAAATTTTAATTGGATTGGATCGGTTTTCGGATGGGTTGATGAAAACCGATCCAATCCAATATATTAATTCCCCTCTACCTACTTGGGTCTTTCCTCCCATCATAGCCCAAAATTTTTTAAACTCAAGACCTATTAACCCATCAACTAAACCCAAGAAAAAACCTAGTCACATCTCATCAACAAAAATTTATTTGTGTAAAGCTTCATATCTCATTGCCAAAAAAAAAAACTATATTATCATTTACTTTTCTGTTTAATTTTTTTTTTACAAAGCCTATAATACAAAAAATGTTATTTGCACAATAACCATAAAACAAATTTTAAGATTTTCAAAAAACCGAAAACCGATCCAATCCAAACCGAAAAAAATTGGATTGGATCGGATCGGATTTGAAAAAAAATCCAAACCGAATGGATGATGGCATGATCAAACCGAAGAGATTGGATCAAATGATTTTTTCTTCCAAAACCGATCCAATCCAGACCGCGAACACCCCTACTTTTAACCACATTTAATCAAAATGTGGTAAAATTTGTTAGCCACATTTTTTATTAATGTTTGCCACGTTTCTGAATGTGGCTAAATAACACTTTTTTTGTAGTGAAATGTAATCTTATGATAATCTATATTATTGTAAAAGTGATATGAAACTTTAAGTTATATTTCTTTTTGGGTATAACTTAGAGCCTAGAGGTATCCTCATTCAATCTCTTGCGGTCACCTTGTTTTTGGAGTACGACCCTGAAGGCTCACCTCATTGAAACAATGAGTGCATTGAACTTCGCCATTGAAAGAATGATGAGATTAATCTCTCATTCGAAGAGAGAGGCACCTCCTCTGGTCCCAAAAATTTTACAAAAATTTATTTGAGATAAGGTTTAAATCCCTGTCTCAAAAAAACTCTTATAAGCTCAGCTGCCAACTGAGCTACTTTTAGAGGTTTAAGTTATATCTTTTAGATCATATGATAAATAACAAGTTAAGAAATCAGCTGACCACAATTCAAGAAAAAGTTACGGGTCAAAATAAACACTTAAATTACAAAATGTCCGTTTGAAACAAAAATATCATTAATTGAATTCTTCACAAAAAAAAAAATCATTAATCGAATTTAATATTAATTTTCAAATAAGTAAATTTCATTTCGAGCCTAAATCTTATTTAATAATGTTTCTTAATAATTATGCACTCAATTAATTGTTAAAATATGATAGTATTTGAAATAATTTAGTTATAGTTATTAAAAGATAATTTCAAGAATAATTTTTTTTAACGAAAAATGATATTATCATGACAGAATATTTAATATTTTAAAAAATATTATCATATTCTATTCTTAAATAATCATTTTCCAACTAATATAAAATATAAATAGATAATAATACAAAAGTATAAATAAAAATGTTTAACTTTGAAACCTTTTAAGAATAATAGAGAAAATAAAAGTTAAAAAAATTATGAAAAAATTTAATAGTCCAGTGTTTTCCCTTTGGGGTAAATTTAAAGAGCTAATAGCTATGATGCACCGACACTTCAAAAATTCTAATGTTTCGTATCTGATACTTCCGACAGTTCGACACTCCAACACGCATTGCAGAGACTCAAAAAAAGGGTTCACATGTTGCATTATTTTTTTAGTTCAAACTATTAGATTCAACGGATTACAATTACTATTTTATTGAGTTTAATATAAACATTTGTGATATCTTATGTTTCTTTACAAAATTGATAGGTATTATAAGTTTAGTTTCATTTTTTGTTAAAATATTAAATATTAAATATAATATACACTACATATATTAAAAATAGTATTTAATATCAAAATGTGCTCTAACGTGTCAAAATCTAGCATTTTTTAAAATTGATGTGTCAGAGTGTCGTGTCGTATCATCTCTCGTGTCCTGTGTCAGTGACGATGTAACATAGGCTAAGAGTATGCATACGGAAGATCTGTGTCTAATACAATCAAGTAATCCAAACAGGTGGGTAAAAGCACACTCCGAAACAAATAAGATCATAAGAGACATCCACAACAAACAACCAGCTATGCTAGGCAAAAAAATTAATTAATTGCAATTTAAATAAAAAATTATAAATTTATTGTTATTTTGAAACTATATATGCGTGTATTACAATGTGTCACGCTCTGATTGGGCTTGACCACTCAGGCCTAAGTTGGACGTGACCCATAAGGCAATCATGCCTAGATTAGGCGTGACTCTTCTGGTTTGACACGTAGTACAAAAAGTTAACAGTTTAACTGTAAAATTTTGAAAAGCCATAACTTTTGATTCGGGTATCCAAATCAGGTATTGTTTTTATTCCATATAACTTTTTGAGATCTATACAATGACACCTCATTGACATATTTTATCTCTCACAAATACAGTTCGAATTTGCAACAATGGTATTACTATAAAAGTGCTACAATATAAAACTGTGAGAGAGATTAGTGAGAATATAATGTTCTTTAAGTTGCATTAAAAAATTAAAAACTTTTAATGTATTGCATTAAAAATATGTTCTTATGATGTGAAACATGCTTTGATAAGAGGGTTTGAGGTAAATTATACTATTATAGACGTTGAAGAATGCATTATTATAAACATATATAGCACCTCAAACCCTCTTATCAAAGCATGTTTCAGTGCAAAAAGTCCACAAGAAAAATCTAGGAGTCCCATGAAAAGCCTACAACTGGATGCCCTTTTGACATATTTTATCTTTGTAAATGATGTTATTTAAATTTTTACTTCCCAACATTAACAAATAATTCTCCAAAAAAATTTCAATGTGTAAATATAAAAAAGATACGTGGAATAAAAAAAATCACTTGAGTAGGACTTTCGAGCCCAAAAAATTACCTGTTAATTTTTGTTTTAAAAAGGGACTACTCGAACGAGACCACATTATGTTATAGGAAAAAATGTGTATCATTCTAAAGAACACAAAATTATGTCATTTTAAGTGAGAGAAAGAGATAGATCATCGGAGAGATAGTTGGGGGGAAATTTTTAAAGGTGGGGTCCTATCTATTTGTGAGAGTGAAAGGACACAAGGTGTGTCATTTAAATTGACACACCATTTTCTCTTATATTATATTTTTAAAAACTTTTTTTAAATACTACATCCCGCTCATGCTCTCTTCCACTTCTATTGTTGTAAATTTGAACTGTATTTGTTAGAGATAAAACATATCAAATGAGGTGTCATTGCATAAATCTCGAAAAATTATGTGAAATAAACATTTTTTTTTAATCTGATTCGGATACTCGAGTCAAATATTATGACCTTTCGAATGCTACCATTATATTAAAAATGTTACTTTTTTTACCCTGACTTAAGCAAACATTTGGAGACTCAGTTGGCAAGGGGAGTGGATCCTCTCATGTGCTAATTAACATGACCATATCATGTGGGGCAATCATAACTATACATAGGTGAGTTAATGGTGATAAGAGAGGAGAGAAAAAAAATATAAGGATAGAAAGTTACACAATCATCACTGTTGATTTAATTATTAATGATTAAGATCCTCTCACATAATATGATCATGTTAAATTACACATGAGATGATCTATTTCTCGTGAACTACGCTTGTTACCATTAAATTTTAAGACTTTAAGTATTTGAGTCTCACTAAATCCGATGGCGAATACTGAATAACAACACCACTTAATATCAAACCTCCTCCTTCTTAATATAATCACCATATTTTTATCTCACGTTTTATGTTTACTCGAATGATTTCATTATTTTGAGTCCTTATCAACGAAATGCACGCCTTCCCAGTTTTTTAAAAAATAAATAAATAAACAAAATTCCACCTTTAGAATCTAGCCGCAACGTATGCTCATGCTCATGCCAAGGAGAGATTCTTGATTAAAATTGCATAATTTAATACATTAAGCTAGTAAAATATTGACGTGCTATTAATTTTTATTCAATACAATAGTGTAAACCCCGTAATCTTTCCATCATATAAAATATTCCAAACTTATACGGAGAAGGATATTATAACAAACAAGTTATATTATTACTATGTTAATACCAATCAATCTCACCGTTAGATCGCTTATGTTGATCCAACAATTATATTTATTTCTATTTTTGTATGGTTATGATTCCCCGTATTTAAAGTGAAAGCATTAAATATGAGAAATCATAACCATACAAAGGTAGAAATAAATATAAAGTATTAAATTTGAAAAATCATGATCATACAACGATGAAAATAAATATAACCGTTGAATCAATATAAAGAAACTAACGGTGAGATTGATTAATAATAAATGATAATAACACAACTTGGTTGTTACAATATCATTCCCGAAGTTATATATGCTTTTCCATCGTATAAATGAAAAGCAGGGTATTTCTCTTTATTGTTCATGACAACACGAAGAAGCAGCCAAAACGTTAGAAATATATTGGAAATAAGAATTTTAAGATTATATTCGATAATGAATAGGGGTTAAAATGGAAACTCATATTTGACCACTAGCAAACTTACAGTTCTCACTACGCACGCACACTCTTTATTCCTCTCTCTCTCTCTCTCTCTCTCTCTCTCTATATCTATATATTTGTTTCTCTCTCATGGCCGTGCTCCTCCGCGTGCAGATCGCCGTCCTCTACGGCCTTCTCGCCCTCTCCATAGCCGCCACCGCAAGGCCCTGCCGAACCTTCCTCATATCCTCTTACTCTTTCTCCTTAGCCGCCGAGATCTTCGCCGATCGCGGCCATCCGATCGAAATCGAGGGCCGTCCTTCGCCGGTTATCAACTCCTTCGGACTCTCCGCCTACGACTTCAGCTCCCTACGCGACCGCACGAAGGACATTCTCAGCGTCGTCGTCGCCTTGCTCTTCGGCGTGGGCTGCGGCGCCATCATAGCCGCCACTATGTACTTGCTGTGGTCCGCGTTCTCCAGCCGCTACGATCACAGTGGATCTTACGATGAGGAGGATGATAAGATCGAGAGCCTTAAGAAAACGGGGTACGTGAAGATTCCGGCGAAGGAAGCATCCATATGATAAATGCTTTATCCTATGAATGTTGTGGATTGTTTGTTTATAATAATGATAGTGGAATTGAACGCAAAATGCTTATATCAGTGTTTGTACTTTGTCAATTTCATTCTGTTTAATGTATTTGGGGGTTTTATATTTGATTTAATATCAGCACAGTTATATCGGTATCTTATTGTCGAGATCTATCATCATCATATTTAGGATTATGCTCTTGTTAGTTAAGAGCTTGAATTGTATGAAAATAGCAATTTTGAGATCGAGAGAGAGAGAGAGGAGGGTTGTTTGGATATACATATATACTTGCTGTTTGTTTTTTGGTTGTCCCATTAAATATTAACAAAGGAATTTTGGTTTTCTGCGAGTCAGTTTGCATTCTGCAGTTTCTTGATAGCAGAAGGCTAATCAATGCGTCGTCTTATAAAAAGAGACAAATTGTGGGTTGCAAAGATGAAGAGTAAAAGACACGTACGTCTAGGTAAATAACTACTATTATGATTATGATTTTTTGCAGTAAATGTTTGACATGACCACTTATTAATGGTCTATATTGGTGTTAGAAAGTCTTGTTGACCCTGAGGACACAATACATAAATGTCTTGAGGATCGCAAAAATTTGAGAAAAAAATTGAAGAGGTTTGCTGTACATCACACGGATGACTTTTGGGAAATCCCTTACGAATAAGATGTGTATAGTTATAAGCTCCTTTATTTATATTCACTCAATAACAAAATCAAAAAGAAAAATGAAAAAAAAATCATTTAAATCACTTAAGGTGTTCGTGCTCCTTTTACAAAAACACACACACACACACACAAAAAACGAAAAATGGAAACATCCATAAATTTCCTTAATTGAATAATAACAAAAACCGCCTCTAGATCAGATTTAAGAAAGAAAGAAACAATTATAATATTGTACAAAGTGTGATTACTTAGATGAATTTGGATTTTCTTTGAAATTGAAGATATATTTTGGGCTTTTCTTGGGTAGAATAACATTATCCACCCAATTGCTGAGATGAAGCAACAAGATGCACAAGAGTCCATTATAAAATAAGATCATAAAATATCGTGGACGTGAATGAATTTTAGTTAGAGCAAAGGAAAAGAAATACTCCCACGTGGATCCATTTGAGATGAACTTCACTCTTAAGTAAAATTAAAAATCAGAATTACAACCCTGTCAATATCATTGCTTAAACTTGTCTCCAAGGTTAACGAAATTCATACTACCAAGTGCTTAATACCACTCACGTATGCAACTACAAGTTGCAAATTACATAACTCTTAACGAAACTCTAGTAACTTAGGTAAAGCTTGAAATTAAAAGTAGCAAACTGTTTTCCAAATTTTGTAACTATGTTTGGTTAAAAACAAATCCAGTATTCTCCTAGCAGCTAAATACGGAATAATTTGGAACATTAAAGACCATAAAAATTATTACCGAAAACAAATACAAACAGTAAATGGGACAAGATACCAGATCGTTTGAGAAGCTGCCACAACTAAATGGTAAATACTAGCGGCAATTGAAATAATTAGTGAATTCCTACAGTGAGGTGAAAGTTCAACCACTAAACTTGTAAGCAATGTCACCATTGGTAAGCGTGAAAATATGCGCATAAATACAGCATTCTCTAGATTTCTTTCTAGTGTACAGTTCATGCAAGCGGTAAATCAAATGCTACAACTGCAGTAGCACTATATTTCCAGCTTTCAGTACATACACACGTTACAAATTGGCACAAGAATATGTCCTAAGTTTCTCATCATAATTTTCTTTTTAAGAATCTCAACAGTCCTCATAGAAATAATAACAATGGCGAAAGTGGAACAGACAATACAGAATATTATATTCAGATATGCAAGGTAGGTCGATAGGTAGTGTTCAAACAGAAGTAATAAACATGCAGAAGTCATCTTGACCGTGGGACCTGATGGAATACATTTTCAAATTATCTCAGTATTCAAGTGAGCCTATTGATGGTAGTCCAGAAACAATGTCATGAGATTCTGCACCAGTGCTGTTCAGCCTTTCTCCTGAACTTGGACCAAGGGATTCTATGGCTTGTTCTCCCATTTTCTGCATTTCTTCTGGTGAAAGTATTTTGATATACCAAACATTATTGACGAATGATCTACAAGAGTTTATATAGGAAATCAACACACCAAAAAACAAAATGTCAACAAACATTAGCCAAGTGAAATAAATAATTATAGCATGTTTTACTTATTTAAAGGGTTGGGGGATAGAATATAAATATTTAGATCACAAGACAAATTCAGTAAAACACTATTATGTAATATCGACTCATACTTACTCCCACGGATCGTCTCCAAGGAGAAGAACATCATTCTCCCTGTCGACAAATACAAGCTGCCAGCCTGATCTAAGAGGGTCTTCAAATTTACCCTCAATTCCAAACATCTGAGCCAACTCCTCTCGCAGTTCATGATAGCTGCTGAACCGGGAGATGTCAAGTGAGCGCCCTACTGAACCTGCTTTGTAAACCTGTGAAAAAATAAATAAATTAAACCACCATATTACATAAAACAAGGGGTCACAAAGCTGCAGCTAAGACTAATATTTATGTCTCAACCTTGACATATGTTCGTGTCTGGTTTTGGGGGTCATCTTGCCCTGCACTTTGCAACAACTCTGATGAATCTTGCATGCAAGCATATAGAGGACCCTGGAATCCAGACTCCCCTAATGACATCGTTGATGCATCAGTATCGGCTGATGCAGTAGCATAACGAGGGACAGTGGTAGGGAGCAGAAGGCCAGATGAATCGATATTGACACCGAATATAGTAGGATTTTGGTTATCTGAGTTACAATGTGGTGGAACCATTGCAGTATCTTTTCCGGAATATTGCACATTTGACATTGAGTTGCCAAAGGCATTGACCTGCAAAGATGAATACTTTGGGGCCCATGATGGTTGGGGTAACTGTTCAGTCAGCATGGACTGACCACTTCTGGATAAATTCAAGAGATTGCCACTCCCCTCTGGACAAAGTGAACCAAGCATGTTTTGCCCTGGCGAAACTGAAGCAGAGAACTTTAAGCTTGAATCTAAGAAATCTGGTTTTGAATATGATGGTGAAGGCAAGCTAGAGTGTTGCCTCTGATGGAGCTGATCATTTTGAATTAAAAGCGTATCTTGATAAGTGTGCTGCTGCTGTTGTGTTTGGTCTTCTCGATTGTTGTGTGATTTATGAAGGAGGTGCTGAGACAGGTTCTCTGCCAATACTTGGGCTTGTGGCTGCAGGATATTAGAAGATACGGATTGCTGGATTGCTTGCTGCTGCTGAAGTTGCAGAGGAGGATTGGGGTTTCCTGATTGTTGAAGATAATTGAAAGGCTGTTGAAAATTCATCATTTGTTGCCTCAAGAGATCTCCACTCCCTAGGTTCTGCAAACCAGCAGCCAACATGGCTTGGTACTGCTGCTGATTATGATCATTTCCAAGCAAAGTTGGATCCAGTCTCTGCTGCATCCAGGGCAACAAACCAGCACCTTGAAAATTCAGGGAATTGAGTCCTTGGTCTCCAGGTCCACCTCTCAGCCACATTAGCCCATTAGTTGCTTCATCTCTGCCATCTGTAACAAGATCCTTTGTAAAGAAAGGAGACAGAAGAAGTGTCCTCAAAACCACCACAGCACCTTTTGTAATGAGGGCCCAGGAGATAATAGGGCAACTAAATTCAGATAAACACAAGGAAATATAATCCCCTTGTGTTTTGGACATGAAGAATGGGTGAAATATGAATAATAGAAACCTAATGTGGCTAACTTGATTTCCATTTATAAATCAATTGTTAGAAAGAATAATTTGAGCTTTCAAAATTCAACTAATATAATTTTTTATAAAAAGTTTACATTATTGATTGCAAGAAAGACAAAAAGAGAGGATTTCAAGATCCTTTGTAAAGAAAGGAGACAGAAGAAGTGTCCTCAAAACCACCACAGCACCTTTTGTAATGAGGGCCCAGGAGATAATAGGGCAACTAAATTCAGATAAACACAAGGAAATATAATCCCCTTGTGTTTTGGACATGAAGAATGGGTGAAATATGAATAATAGAAACCTAATGTGGCTAACTTGATTTCCATTTATAAATCAATTGTTAGAAAGAATAATTTGAGCTTTCAAAATTCAACTAATATAATTTTTTATAAAAAGTTTACATTATTGATTGCAAGAAAGACAAAAAGAGAGGGTTTGGGGGGGTGGATTTATTTGAAAATCTGTAAATTTTCCTTTTTTGAAATAAAGAGAAAAAGGAGAAATGTAAATATGAACACAATTGCAAAATCTCATTTTTTCTTCACTTCAAAAATGAAAAAAAAAAAAAAATCCTTTCTTTCATCCAATCATAGCATTCTTGCTTTTATATGGGTTCGTTATTGCCCATCCCAACTAGATTGGGATAAAGGAAATGTTGATGTATAGCATTAGTGTCATCATACCATTGTTTCTACAACGTACATCACAATTAGAAGGAAGATAAACAACCAAAAAATTAGTGTCGAGAAAAATATGTACCATGAAAAGATGAGGTGCCAGGATGCCATGGGCGTTTCAATCTGAGGGGAAATAGTGATGGATACATTGGAAATGTTGTTAAAGGTTCAATTTCCCATAAAGATACCCGTGGCTGTCTCTCTCCGGCTGTTGATTCATCCCAACCAACCTATCAACAAAGGATGAAAAAACAGGGTCAAGAAAAGTACGAAAAGATGACCCATAAAGATGCCAGGTTATGAGCTTCTTCAAACATCGAATGAAATTTTCCCCTCACTTTTAAGGCATGGAATACAAATTAAAAAACCTGGACCCATTAAAACCCTGTCACTATCTTTTCTGGACAGGCACAAAGAAACAGTGTATTATACCTATTACCTTCTGCTTATTTACATATTACTAATAATAAGCATCAGCAGAACCAAAAAGCTGCAGAACAAGGATAAGGTGCAGCTATCAAATTTGAATAGTTCAGGGGGTGAGTTTTTTGGCATTGGGACGAAGGTGATATCAATATTGAATATGATGAGCTCTGCTGTATCATGTATTAAGGCTACAAAAGTCAGCTACTTGATCAAGAAATTTGAATAGTCTTGAAAAGTTAATTTACTTTGAGGAGATCGTCCTCGTTATACACAATGTTTCCACTTCCCAACATTGTCAAATTAGGGCCTCTGGGCAACGGAGAGCTGGAGAGGCTACTTCTCAACTAGAATCTATGGTCACAAGCAGCAACCTTAGCATAATACCAAGGTTCACCCTCTTATAGTTATGTCTATAATTGCAAAGGGGCATTAAATTTCATTCAGCAGAAGGCATCATATAAACTGCTACCCAATCTTATGCATTACTGTTACGAACTCACAAACGCTAACAAAAAAATCATTCCAAAGATAGAAAAAGAGCAAATCTTTGTTGATAATTGAATATCAATCAGAAAAGGCGAGAGATCTCGTCCGAGGGTTGGGTTTCTCCCATACAACTGAGCCACTGCTCTGTTTTCTTAATGCTAACAATTCTGCATGCACTCCCTTCTACCCCTCCTCCTATTTAAGTTAAACCCCTGGCCTTCCAACCTCTCCAACTAACTAATTGTTCTAACTATTTATACCCTAATGTAACTTTTATCTAACTGTTGATATTTGAGAATCTTTAACAATTAGATTATGAACTTATTTACCTTAACAGATCGCCAATGAGAATTCGGCCAACGAACAGGATCCAGGTCACATATGCCAGTTATTGTACCCATGTACCTGCAAGACAAAGGTGAAAACTTATGCATAAGTAAAGGCAAAATAGTATGGTGCCACACCACACTATCAAAGAATAATATTTGGCCCTCAATTTCCACCGTCTTTAGATTGGAATTCTCACCTCCCAAAATCAAAACACATGTAAGCATAGGCAAAAGAAACAGTACCAGACTACCACAGAATAGCACTTAACAAGTTGGTTTCCACTGCCTTCAGATTGCAGCTGCTAACTTTTTTTTCTCTCAAATCCCAAAATTTAAAGCTGTAAAAAGAAAGAAAAAAGGCAATTGACCCATTTCCAATTGCTCTGGAGCCTGGTAGATCTATTTTATAACCATAAATTCAGCTATCAATAAACTTGCCTCCGTAGATATCACAGATGTAGATGCCATATCAACCTCATTATAGATAAGGTATTTTAATAGATACAGCTTCTGTCATACACATTCATAACCATATTTAGCCTTGCAAAATACAATAGATAGATCCAAGAGCTGCAGGAAATATGTCTACAGTTTTTACCAAAAAATCAATATATGCTTAAGAAAAGATAATTGATGACTACGGGTACCTGCGGACACTTGATTCTTCAGTCTCAAAAAGCATCCTGAAACGCATACCAACAGAAACACGTGTATGGTACACAGCTTTGATATATTTTGAAAGTGGTATGACAAACTCAGATGGACTAGCCCTGCCAATGATGTAGGTGTCAAAAGAAGCACTATAATTTCTAATAAATAAGTATCATAAGTGGAAATGAAGACAGCAAACACAACCTTGGATTATAGAACACAGTAAAACAGCTATTAGTTGCTGCAGCATGGGCAGCAGCTGCAAGAAGGCCAATGTGCATACTATCACTGGATAGAACTGATGATGGCAAAACAGTTTGTGGTCGATTGGCACGACGTATTCCCAAAAGTAGCTGATTCTTTTCATTCCTAACAATTAAAATGCATATAGAAAGGATAATCAAGAAGTTTGCATCATCCAAAGGGAAGAAAAGGTAGCCAAAAAAGGTAAAAAGAAATAAATACCATATGAAAAGCACAGAATCTCCAGCCACGAGTCTTTTGGCACTAACAAATACACTCCACCCCGTTGTAAGAAGGTGTCGTTTTGGCTGTCCTGAGATGATAAACAAGTAATAGACATATCATATTGCGCAGAAGATACAACTAGGCTAACAATCTTAAGTCAAATATAAGAGTGTATTTCAATTAGTTTATTTTGTATTCAAAACAACTTATAATGAGAATCTTTTCTGAGAGCTTTAAATTTTTTTTTTACTTTTCCAAAAAATTAATCAAAACGAAAAATATTGCACAAAATCTAGACTTCCAAGAGTGGGCCAAGCATGTAGAAATTATTTGCCACTTTATTTGTTAATTCTACTGATCAGCTTGCTGATATCCTCTTAAAGTCACTACAGGGACCTTGAATACACTTCATTTGAAACAAACTTGATGCATGTAATTTATATGCTCCACCTTGTACGGGAGTGTTGGAAAGTATCTCCTATTCAGAGAATGTATGCACTGTAAATAATTACGATTTGATTTGTATTATTTTTCTTAATTCCCTGATATCCTTGTTTTCCTTGTTTCCTAAAATTAAAGATTGTAAATCATAAATAAATAGAAGGTTCTTCTGAGAACTTCCTCAAGAAATTCACAAATCCCTCTTCTATAGATACCAAAGGGTCATTTGAAAGTAAGTAGTTAAAGAATCAGATAGGCTCCTCTCTTTTCTAAAACATTTGCAAATCACATCCTACCAAATATTGGAAGAAAATTAATAGAAAGAAGTTACCCTAACAAGGTACAAAATCAAAATCTACAGCAAAGAGGCCCAGTGGAAGACTGATGGCATAATTTTTGGAACTTCATTTTCAGAAGCTAATGCTCCTTGTCAGAAGGTAATTAAGCTGGCTGCCATTTCTGTAAAATGTCTTATTTTAAGGAGTCAAATAAAAGTGTACATAAATGAACTAATATACAGATTCACCAGCAATCTTTGATGTATTTGCCATGGCAAATAGTTGTGTTTGCTCAATTGTTCTATTTGTGATTTCATTTGTGTGACCTAGAAGCTTTTTGGGCATTTTGCAAAAGAAAATACAGCTTTTAGAGGAAAATTAATATAAGGTTAGCCAAGAAGAGGCAAAGCCAGAACCTTAACTACCTGGGTATGCTTTATCCATTGACAGATTTTTTCACCCCAAAAGGATTTGACTCAATCCCTTCATTTAAAGCAAAAGATAGATTCCTAACAGAACCATTTCATTTCCTATTGGATAAAATTCAGATTCAAATGATTCAAAAGTTGTTTAGACCTTCTTCAATAAAGTAATGAAACTAAACGGACCCAAAAGACTGTAATTTCTACAACTGCAAAGTCTCCTATTAAACCTATCAACTTGGTTACAATCTACATTTAGATCGCCAAAGTTTGGGAATTAGTCATGTTCCTCATGGGATGAACACTAGAGTGATCTGATTTTGCTACACTGTATCATTTGTTCATTAACAGTTCAATTGATACTTGATACAACAGATGACAACCACTACTGGAGATGGTCAGTATTTAAGATCAGCTGATTCTGAGCTAGTTGATAACTTGATATTACATACAATTTTGAAGCTAATGAATTTTCCATACACATTCATGGAATTCATGAAAGGCGAAGAAGAAAAATGCTAATTAGTAAACCAATATATATCTGAATCTGATGCATCTACAAAAAGGAGTTTTTCTAGATATTCAAGTCATTTAAGTTATAGCAGACACCAGTGATTAATTAGGATTATAAGGTGCCTTAATTAGTTGTCTCAAGATTCTGGCATGATCCGTATTACTATCATGCCAGAATCTTGAGACAACTACTCAAGATAGTCAAGATTGAGATCCTACCCAGGATTGGGAAAGGGGTTTAGACACGTAAAACATGTGATAGTAATACGGATCATAAGACCTTACCTAAAATATATATATATATAACATACATAGGAAAAATAACCTTAAAACCACAACTAACATCTAATTAAACTTCAATTCAAATGCATAAGAAAGTCACAAGTCATAACTCAACTCAAGTTGAAGTTACAACTCATAATATAAAAAAATAAGTTTTTTGACAACACAACACAGCCCATCTGCTGAATCATCACCACACTACACACGCATGCCATCATCCAACATCAAATAACCATCAAACTCCACCAAGACAAACAGCACCCAACCAGAAACACAGCTGCACACCCTCTGCATGCTGACTAGCCAGGAGGCATTAGGATACCACAACCTGCACCGCTGCCAACTGTGGAGGATGTCTGTATTTCCAGTTGAGAAACTGAATACTGTCAGAGTAAACTACAAACCAGCAGATTGAAGAAGAGAAGCTCAGAAGAGGTAGTAAGAGAGAAGCACCACCATCATCCACAGACATGCAGCAAGCCTCTCAACTGTCACCCACAGATAAAACAGCAAGTCACTCAACCATAAGCACCCACAGATCGAATCAGATCTCAAAGTCAAGCACTGACAGTCCACAATCAAAGCTGAGTTTTAGGGAAAGGATCAAATGAATGGGTCTTCCTAGGGCTTGGTTCTCTACATTTTGGGTGGGCTCTTGGGTTTTAGGTTTCAGAGATGGGCAACTCAGCCAGCAGAGGGACCTTGTTGGATCCCACAGATTTCACAACCCAGCATGTCAATCCTATGCGATCTCATAATAACAAGTTCTTGAATGTGATCAGGACCAGGGCAGTTTGCAAAAATCATAAAACCAAACAATACTATGATCCAACACACAATTTTGACGTCATTGGTAAAGATAATTAATGCAAATATTCATATTGCCAGACCTCTAAGGATTTCATAAATGCCAAAGAAAACATATGTTTCTGAAGATATGCTTGATGAATAGCATGTTCCACAGGAACAAAATTCATACCAATTCTTAGAACTTAACAAAAGATCTTGTCACATGGCAGCGCAATTATCAATTCTCTAGACAATCTATGGATTACTACTTCAGTTTTTCACCAACTGTGGTTTCTTTGAGAGGGATCAAGAGTTAAGGCCCAAAAAGAATATAAAATTTAATTTTCCACCATAATTATCCAGTTGATTCCAGAGGATTGCTATCTTCCACAATTGTTTCCAAGGTCATTAATAGAGAGCGAGACATTTCTTAAATAGTAAATTTTAGTTTCAAATATTTCCATCGGGATGTATTAATAAGCAGTTAATAAGTCAGTCAAAATATGTCCAAAGCATCTGTCTATTTAAGGATTCCTGCAAGTATGGAAAAAGGATTATTTAAATGCAGTTTAACAACAATAAAGGAAACGTTTATCTACTAATCTGCCTGGCATTCGAGGAAAATATCAGACAATAAACTCTTCAGAATAGAGTCAGATTTTGTCAGGGGTGGTGAACTACCTTAATGCACATCCTTCTTTCTTAAATGTTATTCACTTAAAAAATACAATTTCAAACTCTCACACCAAAGAACCTTCAGTCCATTCTAAAATACAATTATTTCTTCGGGGGTATATTTCCCTAGGAAGCAACACAAGCTCTAATCTAAAAAATGTTTAGAAAGTTAGAAAAAAAAATGCAAAACATAAATCAAATCATTTAACTGTTAATTAAGAGGAAACTTACGGAGACAAGGCAAAGTACCATCATACAACAAGACTTAGCTGACCTAATGCCACAAGAACGTTTCATCCCTGTCAACTACTATAGCATAAAGCAGAGATTTCAATCTCTGTATGATGCTAGCTTTTTTGTTATGTAAAGCAGGCCATTACAATAAAGAGAACAAGAAATCTTATTATAATCGTCTTCAACATAATGAAACTCATTATAAAATAACATCATAATAAGAATGGAGTCAACAAAGAATTAGAATCTTACCCCGAAAAATATGTCGAAACTTCCACTCAACATCATGGAGATCCCTAGCAATTAGTTCTTGGGCAGGTGGCTGCTGCGAAAAATCCTGTACAACACAAATAGAACAGAAATAAATCTATATCTAACCAGAATGAAATACAAAGGAAAAATGTGGACACTACCAGTGGAGGGAAAACTTTTTCAGCTGCACGACGAGGAACAGAGAACCCTCCATGTGTGCTGGTGTCACTTGCAGTTAATGTCTTGCAAAAATAATTTGAGGGCTGCTTACTTGGAATGCCCAATTCCATAGGAAGAAACGTATCCTTCTGCTCTTGCTACACGCACAATTATGAACACAAATTTCAACTCCAGTGACAAGAAACACGATCATTACAAATAAAACAAGCTGTCAAAGAAGAGCAGGATACCGGAGTCAATGGCTGCAGTGTCATTTGAGCATAAACTTCATCTGTTTCAACATCTGCCTGAAAATTAATGCATGTTTTAGTTCACTGAGTTTACTCAAATGGGAGGTAAAAGTAACTCAACTATCTGAACTACATGGAAGATATACTACCCACATGCATTGTAACGTTGTGAAGTTGGCAAATCAACTGGGGTGGCAAGCTCGGGTAATTGGGTATGTGCCCATCAATTTCTCTGTTAGTTGTGGCAGCAACCTAGAATCATTGTTTCGTACACGATCAGTTCAATTTCCATTTATAAAATCTACCATACGTAATTAGATTGAATTGTTTCCAATCCCAAGTTTGCAAGAAAAGTTATCTATCTTCCATACCATACAAAATAGACAAAATTGAAACCATAGTAGAGTAGGGAATATAGAAAAGCACCTGCTCGCTATGACCCTGAGGGAAGTAAACCACACGAGTCCCTGCAGTTGGTAGGGACACCAAGGGACCCGCGCATGCATGCCATAGCTCAGAATTCAAACATTTCTTCTCCCCTCCTTTCATCATTCGACGAATCAAATTATCAAAAAAAGAAAAAAAAAGAAAAAAAGAAGGAAAGAACACTCACAAGGATGTTGAAGCAAACACAAAAGAGCTTTGAAAGGGACACAAAATATTAATTTACATATGTATAACTTGAAGCCCGCCCCAACAAAGAGCAAAGAGTAGGGTGCTAAATGATTTTTTTTAAGGAAAAGAGAGAAAATGGGGTGCATACCTTCATGTCCCTGCTGACCCAACCCTGATGTTGAAAGCTTCATATCAAGCTTTACCCTTTTTTCCTCCTTTTGAAGACACAGTATTTAGCAATCACAGAAACACGTGGAACCCTAGCTCAGAGCCCCAATCCTCAATTAGCTCAAAGCCATTATTGCATTCCCCCACATCTCCCTCCGACTTGCCAATGCAATCCATGCCCACAAAAAAAAAAAAAAAAAAAAAAAACCAACTTCAAATATCAAAGAGAACCCCCAAAACTAGTAGGAGGGGATCCAGGAGTTACAACATGAAGAGAAGAGAAGAGAGAACTCAGAACCCCACCACAGCATAGACCCAGAAAAGAATTAACCCTGAACAGCAGCAAAAGGGGTAGGTGGGATTAGAAGAATCTGGTAGTAAGAAAAAGCAGGGCCCGTTGTTTTGTAAAATATCAAGCAAACCCATAGCCATCATGAGCCAGAAGTGGAACCCAATTGGAGACAACTGACAAGCTACAACAACAACAAGGGTGGCACGTTGTTCGAGATCGCCATGAAAGGAACACAAGGGAAAGAAAGCATGAATATCAATATGAATGAAGCGGCCACAAGTGACTGTTGAAGTAAAGGCTCTCTTTTGTGGCCTATCACTTTCGGATTGAGACCCAAGTGAGGATTTTTGGGTTTGAAATGCACAGTGAAGAGAGAGAGAAAGTAAAGGCAGGGTCTTTGGCTCTTTGCCATATATAAGGGGGTCCCGACCAACCTGGACATGGGTGCAGGAGAGAGATAGAGAGAGAGAGAGAGTGTATTCGACAGAACGAATCTGAACCGTTGGATAATCCGTACATGTGAATCTTGACCGTTGGTTGGTGCATGATGTGACAGCAGGCATGTGCCACCATCCTTCAGTGGTCGTTGTCAGAGTACGGAGTATTGAGAGAAAAATATTACCACAAATAATAATAAAAATAAATTATTATTAAAAGAAATTAAAATATCTAATAAAGAGAGAAAAAATAATAATAATGATAAATGTTAATGCAGTTTAATTTTTGTCAAGAGAAAAATTATTCTTATGTTACATGATATAAATTTTTTTTCTTTCACATTCTTCAATAATTGTGTCATTTTTTTTTTCAGGTGGTGGAGTTCACTAATTTATTTCTATGACATGAGATAACTATCTCTTTTAACATGAGATTAATAAAATTTTATCAAATATATTTTTGAACTGAATTAAAAAGTTCTAATTACGATTAAAATTCAATTCAACATTAGTTTTATAGTTTTTTTTTTTGAAAATTATTTCAAAGATATCTTCCGGCCGAAAGTCAAAAACTAATTTTCTCGAAACAAAGAGATAACGCGATCGTGATTATAGCATATCCTAATAAAATCTTTTCTATATCCATCACCAGAAATCGAAGTCAACATAATAATTTAAAGAATCAAAGTTTGTAAAAATATTTGGAATCAATTCACTTCAAAAAAAAAATAATTAATATCAATATATATTAAAAAAAAATAATAAGTGGGAGAGAAGGATAGAGAGTACCACGCAAATGGATGGGCAGGGAAGAGAGTGTGTGCGAGGCGTGATAAGTAGCCAGAAAAAGTTAAAAGCAGAGAGATTGTCATTGATGGTTATGTTATGTGTATCCCTTCCCTTCTCTCTTTCTCAGTTTCTCTTTCCTCTCCCATTTGCATCCAAATCCTACCATTCAGATAATAATGAATAATTCAATGAAATCTGAAATTCCTTATACAATAACGTAGTAATGCCACTGTGCAGATACTAGTGACACAGCTAAAGTGAGAAAGATATGAAAGAAATTAAAAATTGTCTCACAATTGGCACTTGATGGTAAGAATTTAAAATATATATATATATATATATATATATATATATATATATATATATATATCGACTTTATTTTTGATTTCAGCAATCTCACTCTCTTCAGTTAAAAATACCTGTATTCACCCACACTCTCAATATGTGTATTTTTTTTTTTGTAAATCAATATGTGTAATTTTGTTATGTTAATTGCCTTATAATCTATTTTATACCAACATGTCTGTTAAATAAAGTAACATTACATTAATAGTTATCATCTAAATTTTCAAACAAACCTAATTACCTGGCCAAATCATATTTAAGGCCATTGCACTTATGAGAAGAATCATTAATGTATAGGCAACCCCAAAATCATAGTGAAGTATTGGCATTTATAGACCCAATTTAACCTTAGGGAGAAGAAAGGGAGAGTATGAATTGGAGCAGGGTAGAGATTTTTACGCTGGTGTGCATCTTCTTTGGGCCTATAATATGGTAGAGCAGTCAAATAGAGGGTAAATAATTCATTCTAAGTATTGAGAATGAGAACCCAATTGAACTTTATTGATGGAGGATGAATTGAATTTTTGGAATTTCACCCGTTATCAAAAGCAAAGAGTTAGTAATTAAACCATTAAAGATCTTCCGTTCTATGTTTTCAAAAAAAAAAAAAAAAATCTTCCGTTCTTTTGAGTTTTAATAACACAGAATATTTGATGGGTTACCCTACAGCTACAATTATATGGCTTCAAAAGTTCAAATTTCAGATCACCAAAATTAAATTCAAACACAATGTTGTCATGTAGTCCAATCTCAGTAAAAGATGTTCCAGAGTTTAAACGCTTTCACATACAGTACAAGTAATTTTATTTATTTTATGACAAAAATGGTTCAAATTAGAGAAAGATACTCCCCCTCATAAAATCAAGGAAAATCATCAATCTCTTTGAGAATTATAAGTAACTAATTAATATATTAATTACTTGTACTTTTTGTTAGCATTGTCACATGAACAAGGCATACACTTGATAAAATAAATGATATAATAAAGTGGGACAGAAAATAATGCATTCGTTTTGGTACGAAGTATTTTTTCGGATTTTCGAAAAATTGAATTTTTTTAAATTTTAAATTTTCAGATATTATCGTAAACGGAATGTAAAAATCATATTTTTGAAACAAATGGCCTCTCTTTTACTATATTAAGCAACTTGTTTTTTATTTTATTTTTTGGATAAATCGCATGTATCCTTTATGGAAAACTATTTTGTTCAGTGCAGTTTAAATAATTTTTGGATCGAACATATGCTCTCATTCCATCGGCTCACCTCTCATGCTCCAACTGAACTATCATCATTTGATAGCAACTTAGTTATTTAAAATACAAGTAAACCGATCCAAAAATTATTTAATTCTAATGCAATATATATTTTCATACTAGCTATTGTTTTCAGGATCCCATTTCTTATGAAAATTAACTTATTTTTAAAAATAATTTTATGTTCACTGTTTATTTCGTATGTAAAGTGAAACCAGCTCTTTTTACTAAAAAAAAAGGGCTTTTAGTTTGTTATGTTACCGGAAAATGAACAGTAGTCCTGCAGAGAAGAGATTTTGGTGGGCCACTTTAAAAGAAGAAAAATAAAAATAAAAATAAAAAAAGTGAGATTTTTGATGTATCAGCAGGAATGATAAATAGTATTTATGTAACATGATAAACTAAAATCCCAAAAAAAAAGTGAAACCAGCTCAAAATTTCGAAAGGCAAATCCTGATTAATGCAATTCTTATGGGTAGCATCACTTTTATTCTAGATGAATAAAGAGATGTTTATTGTTGAAAAGAAAATCAAACAACTAAATCATTCCAAGCACAAGATTCTAAAATGATGAATAATAGTGTGAGCGAGAATAAAATATATTTATATTTGTATCATGTTGTTTTGTAACCTTAAAATGAGCATTTGAGTTTCAGTTATGACAAAATCAATGATTACATAAGCAATTATAAAAGTAACGACAATAATAACGATAACAAAATTAAAAATATGTCTTTACAAAAAAAATAAAAAAGTTTAACAGCAGAATATACCATTGCAAACCTTAAACACATTTGAAAAACAAAACTATATTATAAACATGGTGTATAAGCATGACATCACAATTTATAAAAGACTAATATGAGTCAATTTCGAAATCTAATTCAAGGAAAAGAATTATTTAAGTCATCATAATATAAGAAGTATTTTGTACATATATTTAACGGAGAAGGATCTGTTTACAATTTTTTTTTACAAATTACAATAAGTATGACTGGTCATACACTCTTGATTAAAGTATGATCGGTCATACTTAGTGTAGTTTATAAGAATCTGTAAACAAAAAATTTATAAATATAATATTTCCCATATTCAATTGATATATAATGTTAACACATTTATTGTTAAGGATCCATATAATAAGTCTTAGAGGTTCTAAAGTATAAGAGCTCAAGTCAATTATATTTCACCCTTATCCATTAAAGAGTTTGTGTCCTCCCACGAAATTCTTTCAACTTTTTTAAATATTCTTTATAAATAAAGAGTTAAACTTTATGTATATACATTTATATTAGGGAAAACTTCAAAAAAAACCTTTACGGGTTTTCTTAATTATCACTTACCCCTCACAAATTTTTTCAATCATTTACATCTTTATTTAGATTTTTTTTATCATTTATTCCCTTAACTTAAAATTTCTTTATCACTTATCCCCCTCACTTAGGGGGTAAATGATAAAAAAACTTTAAGTCAGAGGATAAATGATTCAAAATTTTAGAGATAGGGTAAATGATTATGAAAAAAGTGACAGGGATGATTTTGTACACAATAATCTGCCACTATTTACAGTTATTTCTTCCATAGATATCACCGGTCTTCAGATCCTATATCAATCACGGGGATGGAACACATATTATAGTTAGCATTTGACATCTAAAATATACTATTTGCAATGGACTGAAATTAATATGTCTGAATATAATTCAACTTGGAAATCTAACTCAAAAGAAAATAAAAATTCAACTAGTATAAGAACTTCTGATGTTATAACTTTGATTAAAGAGGAATGATCCGTTTACAAATTTTTTGTACAAATTTTTACAAATTATACTATCTTCTCCCGGGAAAAAATAGTATAATTTGTAAACAAATTTTTTTGTAAATATAACCTACCCCTTGATTAAAAGTTATAACTTTTGATTTAGTAAACCCTGATCAATCCAATATTTCGTATTAGAGTTGAGGTTGTGGGCTCGATTTTCCAAATGATACTTTAGGCTACCCTAACTATTAATTTGAATATATATTTTATATTTATATATTATAATAGAACCATTTTTTGTGACAAAATAAATCTAAATTTATTATAATAATTCTAGTTATAGTAGAATTTTCTGAGTTCTTTAGGGGGAGTTTGGTATAGGAGATATTTTTTTTTACTGAGAAATTTTTTTTCTACGAATATGGTGGTAAACATTTTTGCCCAGATAAATTATGAAAAAGTGTTTGGTATGCCAAAATTATACCAAGAAAGTTGAGTTAATCTTACTGATGTTGTTTGGTTGGTGATAAAATATTGATGTGATTTTGAAGCAAAATGACGATTTTGTGTTTCTTGCAACAAATTTTTAAGACATCTGAAGCGCAATTTTGTCTAAAAAAGGTAAAATGCTTTTCATGGTTTTGGGTAAAAAATAATACTACCTTTCAAATGAGATTTTTTTTCCCCATGTCATGTTGAAAAATAGATTCACGGGAACAAAATTATTCTTGCATTTTATCATATTCTCCATACCAAACATAGTAAACAAAAATTGAA